CGAAGAGATCGTTCTGGATCCAGAGGATCTTGTTGACGGCGCGCACGAGCGCGATCTTGCGTCGCAGCGACAGGTGTGGGTGGGACAGCATGGCTTCGATCCAGATATCTTGGATGTAGCCCAGGCATACGCCGAGGTGAATGTACTCGATGTTGAGAGGTGTTCTGCGTACTTGTCCGCTGTGCATCATGCTGTGTTACACATCAGGTTAGCGTTGCACGATAATCTCACCCCGGGGACGGGGATCTGGGAACGGAAGGTAGGGGTTTTTTTCTTGAACTTACCCAACTTTGTTCAAGTACCGCCAGAATTCCATTGTTGTCGGGTCCTGGCATAGACGCGTCAAGTACCAGCGCAGGAACAGCTTGCGGCGCTGGATTTTCGGTGTGTCTTCCTGGAGGTAGCCCTCCTCGGGTTCGGTCTCGTCGACTGTTGTCCGTGTGTGGAAGGCGCGGGATGTGATGTCATATTGGAGAATCTTTTTATATACCAGGTTGACGACTGCCGGGATCAATTGTTTGATGTATTTGTTGCCAGTGAGCAGTGCTTCGATATCGCCTGGGGGGTATGACGTTAGTGGCTGATTCTTGGGATTGGTCTGGTAAAAGCTTACTAGAGTTGAAGTCGAGGAAGCTATGGAGGTACTTTATTCGCTCTTCCAAGCTTGTATAGAGCAGTTTCCGGTCGATATGCATTGGCGCACCAGCCGATCCCGATCCCGATCTGAAATCCATGGCTTCTGACACTTTATTATGTTGCGAACAGCTGGGGTCTTCTTTGTCCGGGTGGGGAAAACGGTTGGAAAGGTAGATCGAGAGTATGAAAGAGAAGATAAAACTGGAGCACCTCGTGGTAAGCTGGCGGATCGAGTATTTATACCATCGAGATGCGCGATCTCCGTTCAAGATTACTCTGTTCACCGTTCTCCTATATTGGATGCAACACGATTAAATTGAAAGCCACTAAACTATAAAACACATCCTGTTGGGCTCCGCTCGAAGGAATCCTGGAAGGGGACGATCATGACTCTTACCCAGAAAAGCGACATTACCCGATCTCAGGCGAGCTTTTTCCCTAAAAACTTCGTTTGAAGACCCAAGTAAAGTGCTGATCGAATCAGCCCATAGGGCGAGATTACTTAGTGACTCTCTAAAGTGGAGTAATCATCTATTTGTAGGAATGTGTGGGCTGATTCCTGCAATCTCCGAACTAGACGAAAAAGCGAAAAAGCGAAAAAAGCAAAACAGCACAGCCAAGAACGGCAAGATCCATGGGTGCTGTGCTATCAGACTCGGCAACCTGAAACAAGCGACTAGGAATGTCGAGAATACTGTAGGCTCAACTCTAACCAGCTGGTGAGGAAACTGTCAGATGCTAGTATACCAGATGGCGTTTTTGGCATGCCGGGGATAAAACACTAAAGTCACCCATGTTCAACTGTCGCGAACCATTGCCCGTGCAAAGCGAATTAATGAGATTAAATGGATGAATCGGCATTTGAATCTGACTCTTGTTCACTGGCTCCGGAACTCCGCTACGGGCTAAACGGTTTCTCTTAGGACCCGTGATGAAGTGGGTTCCGTTCGGGTCCGACGGGGTTGCGGACCTGGTGATGCCATTCGTGTTGTCTCAGGCCGTTAGGTACATATAAATACGTGGTAGACATGCATCGATCGTCCGTTGATTGCCTTGAAAATCAAGCGTTGCATCAACTGCAGTCCCCAGATTGTAACTATCACAATACAATTGGCTCGGCACTTCACAGCGCCCCTTAATAAGTGTAATATGCTAGTTAGAGATTGCCGAACCAGTGGATGTGTGGTGGGTCCGAAGGATTGCGACCTCAACAAGTACAAAGTACAGACTGTAATAGGGTGGAATCGGGACTAATAAAGCAATAGCGTCGAAAAAATCAGGAAACGCCTGCATGTCAACCGACGTGGACCCTCTACCCGTAATGAAATCTACTTTGTACACGCGAGCTCGCATCGTGTGATGACATGGCCTGATGGGATTCTCCGTAGATCGGGAAAGGATAGATCGGATGTGGATATGGCATGATCAATAGTCCGGAGTGAAATCTCTTCGAACTGAGCACATTAGGGCGAAAATTTTTCACGGCCCAAAATTGAGGCCCTTGCCCTGCGAGCTTGGATTCCTTTAATTCTCCGAATAGATCAAACGGAGAAAGGGTTTCCTTGTTTTCTCGATCCGGATGTTTCGAAAAACAGCCGCGGTAGACGATCGCTTTTGCCGACTTGATTACCCAGTTAGGTCTAGAACAGGACTGGTTCTCGAATGTCCCCCTGGAACCGTTTAGTTTAACGGCTTTATTCCATGGGTTTGGGATTTCTGGGGAAATGTGACAGCGACAGCGGCCCAGGGGCTGTCGAAAATAACCGGCCAGTCACAATATTCCTAATGACAAATCGTGAAAATTGTGAAACGGGGGCGTCAAGAAAAGTGCTGATCGCGGCTCATCCACGGGCATTTTCAATAACACGGGGGATTCCATTTCGAGGCAATGAGCCCATAAAAGATTATATACAAGACTCCATACTCCGGAGACTCATCGCTTCCAGATAACCTCGGGTGGCGTCTTCTGTCCACTAATTGCCGGTCGTCGTGGCCCGTGCAGCCGCGGCATCATACAGAGCCTTAATATCCGCCTGCCACTGCTTCACCTCGACTCTGGCCACGCGACGGTCATAGGTAAGCAGCCCGTTGACCTCGCCCTCGACATCGGTCGTCTGGGTCCAGACCCCCCCACTGCATGCGTACAGGCGGATCTGATCCTCGAGCTCGGTCAGGAGAAGGTGGCTACGATAATTCCATGCCTCGATGCTGGTGTCAATCTCATACGTTTGGTCAATCGTATTGATGGCGGCTTGGTTGTTCCAGAGATGCTCCATGGATACATTACTCCCGATGCCGCCAAATTCACCCTGGAATCCAATCCGGGTGGGATCGTAGGGGCTCGAGGGTGTGGAATAAAAGGGGGTGCCACATTGTGGGTTTGCGTAATGGTGATTGTCCTACGAGATGTTAGTGAGCCACGTGGCTGGAGCCTGGGCCACAGGGGCACATACACTAAAGTCTCCAGCGCCGTGGTCGTCCCAGCCCGTAGTCGAGTCCACAAGCCGAGTGGGGTCCAGCTGTCTAACCCGCTCGGTCAGCTCAAACTCGGGGTAGTATTCTGTGATCTGGCCCCAAGCTTCGTTGTAGATGACCTAGATAGTGGTTAACGTCTGGTCTTTCGGTTTCACATCAGACTTACCCAAGTTACAATACTAGGGAAGCTCTTCAATTGGTTAACCAACAGGTCCAACTGGCGAGTGAACTCAGCCTGCTGCTTCTCGTCCGGTAGGATAGTAACTGAGTTTCCATTTGCGTCCCTCTTGAACTGCGACGGGCGCAGGGAAGGCATGTCCTGGATTACAAGCAGACCGAGCTCGTCGCAGGCTTGATAGAACAAATCGGTCTCGACTTTGATCTACATTGCACGGTGTGAGCATGAGAAACCATGGGATATGCAACGCGGCGACACTCACATGCTTGCGCACCATATTGAATCCCAAGTTCTTCAACATTTCCAAGTCGTACACCATCGCCTCTTTGCTGGGGGGCGTGTATAAACCATCGGGCCAATAGCCTTGATCCAGGGTACCGAACATGAAAATGAATTCTCCATTGAGCAGGGGTCGCTCAATCCCGTCAACCATGCCCCTGGAAACTGTACGGAAGCCTGTATAGCTCTCCACTTGATCGTCGCCAAGTTTGACAGTCACGTTGTACAGGTTTGGGGAATCCGGAGACCAGAGTTTGGGCGAAGATACGGTGAATTGGAATGGCTCGTTGGTGGGGCCTTTGTGGGTTGCAACAGTCTTGCCATCTTGATGGACAGTGACTTCGGCCTGGGCGGATTTCTCCTTAGCAGAGCTGTGTACAGTGATATTTACTACACAATCAGAATCAAGCAGCATTTCAACAAAATCACAGAGACTTACCTTGGCCATCCATGTTTGCATCAAGATCGAGTTGGGTGATGTGGTTGGATGGGGCAGCCTCCAGCCAAACGGTTTGCCATATCCCACTGCACGGGGTATAAAAGATGTGACTAGGTCTCAGGGTCTGCTTTCCGATGGGGATAACATAATCACCATCGTCGGTAGGATCATGTACGAAAACAAGTCTGTATTTAAATCAGATATGCAGACTGTTTAGGATCCTGGGATACTCACAGCTCATTCTGCTGATCAAACTTCAGATACTTTGTCACGTCTACCGCGAAGCGGAAGTATCCGCCACGGTGGAAGCCTGCCTTTTCACCATTGACAAAGACAGTGGCTTCGTAGTCTACGGCTCCAAAATTGAGCAGTACCTGTTCACCCTTCCAAGAAGGAGATACTTCGAAGGATGTCGAGAACCAAGAGTACAGAGCCCAATCGCTTTGAATCCCTGCGAATTTATCAATTCCCGATGCTAACGCAATAAGCAGGAGAGGACCTACCGGACAATCCACTCTCAAGACACGATGGAATCAAAACATCCTGCGCAAGTTCCTGCCCAAAAGGGGGCTGCTGAACAGCATCGAGGCCTTCGGCATTTTGGTACTTCCACACCCCGTTGAGATTCTTCCATTCAGCACGCTGCAGCAACGGTCGCGGATATTCGGGCCATGGGTTCGTTCCGACTTTGTCAGTCCATGGCGTTGTCAAGGGAGGCTCCTTAAGAGAGTAACCCGCACTGCGCGCCTTGTTTTCCTGGTGCTCGGTACTAGGGAGAGCTAGACCAGTTGCCACTAGACACGACAAGAGAAAACTCTGAGCCAAATGCATGTTGACTGGAGACACTCAGATCTTGGCAGTATGCACACACAGTGACAGTTCCAAAGGTCTTCGGAAGATATCACATTTTGGGCATGATCTGGATTTAAATACATCGGACCCTGCTTACGCGGGACCAACAGACTCATGGCACGGTGAGTCCCTGCATACAACATGGCCACTTGGCAGAGATGCACCCACAAGGGCCAACCCCGCAGGAAGTACACAAGATTCACTGAGGACCGGAAGTATGTCGGCCGCTGGCTGTTGTCCGAACACAGGGAGCATCACCCACCGCTTGGCGTTACTAACAGCGCAGGAGCCAAGGACAGCAGCCAAGAGCCGACGGTCGATGCGCGAATAGTAATCAAACTACCCATCATCACAAGGGGTGAGCTGAATCTTGCCTGCTACGGGCACGCTGGGTTCTCGAGATAGGTGGAAATTGCCGACGTGCAATAATAATAACAGTCTGCCAGCAGTTCCAGGAGCGACAAAGAACAGCAGGAAGAGGTATTCCGTATTCCACGGAGCATTTTGCGCCAGTAAAAACACGAGTCACGCGACAGAATGTTCGGTCTGAGCCGACTGCTCTGCCCAATACTGCGAGAATATTAACGCCGATCGCAACACACGGGCGACAGCCGATCTGGCTTTACCCCAGACATGCATTTCCCGTGCAAGGGAAGTAATATTGCTTGCTGTCTCATCTGTTAGCGGAGATATGCAGCGTATCTGCATATCCAAGCCAAATCTAAGAATGAAGTCATGTTTACATGGAATGATTTGATCTTGCATTGCTAGTTCAGCAAGGATCATGTTTCCTGGCCAATCCCTTGCGTCCGGATTGCATGGCACACCAACGTCCCCACCCTGAGCGGGATATATATTTGACAAAATGGTCTGGCCACGATCTAATTTCGATATACTTACCATTCACTCGCTTTTCACACTAGACTAGCATTGCCCTACCCCGCAGACTCCGACGACGTGGTAGTTTGAGGTTGTATCAGCTTTCAATTTAAGAATCCGAATGGCCGCCCTGTCCCTCAGAGTCTGGCTTGGCGCGACGATCCTCTCTTCCCTATTGGCGGGTTGTTTTGTCCGTTGCTGTCCGCTCAAGCCCAAGGCGTTGGCTAGTTTTTGGCTTCGTTCTTCCCCACGTTCTACGAGCGGGGCTTATGGTGAGTTGAGTCGATGTTCCAATCATATATTCCGAACTTGGATGATGGGAATTGTGGTGTGATAGAAAAATACATAACCAGCTTTTAAACAAACGAATACTTTGTTCTTGATTTGGGAAAACCCCGGTGGAGGGTTCTTATCTCTAACCGATCTATGACCTTTCCTGACTGGCTAAGGATTCACTTCTAGCGGCTGACGCTAGCAAGAAAACCTCATCGTAGGCTAGTGTCGGTTATGCCAGCCTTGATTCGGAATACGTACATGTGGCAGATCACTTGTATATTGTATATTGTACTAGAAAGTAACGTCGGCAGTGGATTTCTTCTGCGAAAAAGAAAATGATAGATGGCAGTGTTGCTGTGCAACGGGCTCGGTTACAGCCGGCAATATTGTACAGATGGACAATCCGATTGCTAAAGATGGTCAGAAAAGCCTGTGGTTGATTTGCGCTTTGAGGCAGGCGAAATGGTTAAACTATAGCTGTCGACTGAAGATTTACCTCGTGCCAAGCTTCCCATCGTGGCTATAAATAAACTTAGTGGGAATTTCCATTCCGGGACCTAATAACGCGTTATATTTGATAACATTCAAAAGCAATAACATGATATGAAGATATTTATTCTGCGTTCCTTTCAGCGTGTTGTATGATATGTGTGGTGTAACGGGACGTGGTAAGACAAAGCCAAGATCCGTTAGGAGTTGTAGATGCTTGATTTGTGACCATATGCATCTGGCCCATTAAGGAGAAGATAGTTCAGTGGTCGAGATATCGTGTACCAAAGAGCCAGAAGATAACGGCGTAGATCCAAAAGTATCTAGCTAAGGGATTTGCCTGTATCTAGGAGTTCGCGAGCGGCGAGCGGCATTTGGTAAATACTATCTAGTCTAATCACATTGGGAGTTCTCCGAAATCTAAGGGAACATTCATGATCGAACGATACAATCCCCATCTTCTCGTCAGCATGGTGACCGCTCATCTCTATCGGGATTGAATTGATATCGGGATTTGGGTGGAACAATCCGGGAACGCTCTATATGACCCGGGATTAGGCAGATCACCGAAGCTCTACAATGATTAGGTCCACCTATCTATCATGGCGTGATCTGTATCAAGTTTAGCCCTAACAGACCCCGGGCTTATCATATGTAGGTATGTACTTGCTTGAATGCGGATTATCGAACTTCCGGGACTATCTTCTCTCGTGACACTGCATTGAAGCAAACCCCGTGTTGACTTCCCGAGTTGCACTTTACTGCCGAACATGGCGACCATTATTGAATTACTCCCCGAGTCCAAGAGCTTCCGAATCTCATGATGTTACTCCTCTTGTACTTCGGGGTTTGGGGATGTAGGCTATCATTTCAAGCCAACGTATGAGGCCGCTGGAAGTGTTATAAATTGAGGTTCTCCCCAGGCTTGAGATAAGGATTTCCATTCTACACAACAGTCTTCAGTCTTCAAAGCAAACACTCGTCAAAGTACAACAAGCATCTCAACATGGTTCCCGTTCTCAAGAAGTACAAGGCCGCAGCAGTCAATGCTGAGCCTGGCTGGTTCGACCTTCAGGAATCCGTCCGCCGGACAATCCACTGGATCGATGAAGCAGGAAAGGCTGGCTGCAAGCTGATTGCTTTCCCCGAGCTGTGTTAGTATCACAGTCCCAAGTACCGGATGCAATGTACTGACAAGATGAATAGGGATTCCCGGCTACCCCTACTGGGCTTGGAAGGTGACCTACCAGGAGAGCCTGCCCTTGCTGAAGAAGTACCGCGAGAACAGTCTCGCCTCCAACTCGGAGGAGATGCGCCGCATCCGCGAGGCCGCCAAGGCCAACAAGATTTGGGTGTCTCTTGGATACTCGGAGCTTGATCTCGCCAGCTTGTACACGACTCAGGTCATGATTAGCCCAGCTGGAGATGTCATCAACCACCGTCGCAAGATCAGGGCCACCCACGTCGAGCGCCTTGTTTTTGGAGACGGCACTGGCGACACTACCGAGTCGGTGATGGACACCGAGCTCGGCCGCATTGGACACCTGAATTGCTGGGAGAACATGAACCCCTTCCTCAAGGCGTACGCTGCCTCGCTCGGTGAGCAGGTGCACATCGCTGCTTGGCCTCTGTACCCCGGAAAGGAGACCCTCAAGTACCCTGACCCTTACACCAACATTGCCGAAGCAAACGCAGATGTACATTTCCCCCTTCTTTATTTTTTGCAACGACTTGATCTGATTACTGACAAGACTGCTCAGCTTGTTACCCCTGCTTACGCGGCCGAGACCGGTACATTCACTCTTGCCCCGTGGCAGACAATTACCGCCGAGGGAATCAAGGTCAACACACCTCCTGGAAAAGAGCTTGAGGACCCCGAGATCTACAACGGAAATGGCCGTATCTTCGGTCCCGATGGACAGAACCTCGTTCCCCATCCCGCCAAAGACTTCCAAGGACTTCTTTTCGTTGACGTAAGTGGATTATATTTTTGTTCTATCAGAATGTCAAACTAATTGATCAAACAGATTGACCTCGACGAGATCCATCTGAGCAAGGCTTTGGCCGATTTCGGTGGCCACTACATGCGCCCGGACTTGATCCGTCTTCTTGTCGACACCAACCGCAAGGACTTGGTCGTGCGCGAGGACAAAGCCAATGGCGGTGTCATTTACACCCGGACTATTGACCGCGTCGGACTTTCTCTTCCTTTGGATTCATCGGCTCCTGAGCCTGAGACCGAGAACTGAGTCTCAATTTGAGAGTATGTAGATCTATTTGCCGGACTCTAGCAGATATGTGTATTGTAGAAATACCAACTTATTCACTCTTTTACCTTTTATCCATAGTTTGATTGTGACTTCCTTTTGCTCTGTCACCTAAAAGAGGTTGAGCCGAACTGCAGTGACTTGGTTCAGACCTCGAGGGCCCAGACCCGTGAAATGTGTGGACATTCCGTTCTCTCAACATTCTTCACATTCTTGTGCATTCTTTCTTATGCCTCAAGGTCACAGATTCAAAGTCCAACACCTACAAGGTCAAGTTGCAACCATGTGCAGACCCATACTCTACCCGATTTGTTGACGGGCCGGCGAACAGACAATGGCCCGGAGAGTGTAACAATGAAATTGTCTGGGGTACAATGTCTCAGATATAATGGACTTGTCGCCGGAAACAGAAGTACCGAGGACGACAGTCGACCATTTTGGCTTGACTATACCCACCACTCCATGTTCCCAGCGTATTTCATAGTGTAATGGTTTTTGAATAATTCTAAGATTTCTTTGGAGGGCTTTAGAGTGAATAAAAACCTTATCACAGCGATGTGCGTACTTAGTCCCAAAAATACCCCTATTACCCTTATTAAACAGCACAGTTTGATCTGTAGAACCCAAGAATGACTAAGTTCACTCTTACACTAACACTACGTAGAGTAAATAATTTTAAGCTCAAGCTCGACGTCTAGAAGCTGTCAAGCAATGACATTCCGTAAAAGTTGTCGGAGCTGCCACGTGTCGATCATCACGGAATGTGAGATTTTGCTGCAAGCAGAATTTAATTCTTTTAATAGTTGAACATGTAGACCATTATGTGTGTCTATATTAGAAGTACCGATAAAAATAAAGGGGGAAATCGCAAGGGAAGCCTGATTTTCTAAGTTGATATAGGGCAATGAAGTATAGCTTCCCCGGATACTATTTTGGGTCGCAGTTGCCAATAAAACACATAGTGACGAGGTGACGAGGTGACAGACATTTTCACAGCCTTCATCCCCACATTATCCAACTACTCATTGTTACCCTCGTCAAGAGAACAAGCCCTTTGTCTCTGTTTTCGGACACTCCACCTTCCTCTTGATTCAGACCCCGAAGAATAGTCTATACAGGTACGTTACTTTTACTTCAATCTCCATCATTCCCCGTGGGGACTTCCGTTCTCGCCCAGTAACCTTTGTTTCCCTGCATCCGGCTACATCAAGTCACTTATAACAGCTGTTCTCCAGCCATTCATCTCAAATATATTCATTCCTGAATCTTCATTCTTCATTCCTCATTCCTCATTGCTCAACACCAGCCTCCTGACTTCTTACCAAGTTAGGGTTATCAACATGCCGTCCATGTCCAAGTTCTCCCAGGCGTCCGTGCTCGGACTGTCTTTATTGGTAGCCTTGGCTCAGGCTACGCCCACAGTGTGAGTGGTATCTCTCTATCAGAACTACAGTTCTACAATACTAACAGACCTTGGTGTATAGTAGCCTAAAC